TCGAAGCAGACCTGGCACTCTTCGCTGCCGGGCGCCGGCGGAACTCCGGAACTTGGTCGCGCCGCGGCCGCCGCCTCGGAGCGCCCCGGGCGCCTGAGCTCGCCGGATCGCGGGGGCGCGTCGAACGTCACGATGCCGGCGAACTCGCGCGCGGCGTCGTTCTGCTCCAGGGCGCGCCGCGTCTCGAGCTCGCGCCGGGCCGCCGCACCGTTGGCGGCGGCCGCGGCGGCGTCGCGCCGGTCCTGCGCCAGCACTTCATGCATGAACACGTGCGCCGCGAGTTTGAGCGCCTGGTCCTTGGGCGCGCTGCGGTCGCGGACGTCCTCGCGCCACGCCTCGGACGTGAAGACCGCGAGGAGCGCGTGGTACCCCGCGGGCCGGTTCCGCCGCTGCTCCACGAGGATCTGGAGCTGCTTCAGAAAGGTCGGCGGGCCCTGGTTTTGCATGTACCTTCGCACGTCGCGGATCCGGCGCTCAAAGTAGTCGCGGCCTTTGGTCTCCTCGGTCGGCACCTCCGACCGGGATGGCCGCAACTTGTACGCCGCCCACTGGACGATCTTCGCGTCGATCTCATCCCACTGCAGCATGTGCGCGCGGGCGCCCTTGGGCGTGGACGCGAGCTCCATCGCGAACCCTCGCCCTGACCCAGCCCCAATACCAAGTCCTTTAGTCCGCAAGTTGAGTTTTATTATTTCGACCGAACTTGCTTTGTGGCAGCCCGCGACGAGGACCGATCGACTTCGATTGCGGCCGCCGCCCGGTGCGAGGACAGCGGAGACCTTGGGCCGGCGGACCGGGTCGCGGCGGGCCGCGCGCCCTCGCGCGGGCACGCGGAACCATTCTCGAAATGGCCGAGAGGACGGCGCCCAGCGAGTACCAGGCCGTGGTGCCGGACGCCGCCGCGGAGGACGCCGCGGACGCCGCCGCCGTCGACGCGACGACGAAGCTCCCGGCCGACGAGGCGTCGACACCCTTCGGCTGGTGGGTCGCCCAGGTGTCCTTCTTCGCGAGCGGCTTTTTCGTCACATTAAACCAATACGAGTCGGACTGGGGCGCGAACGCGTCGCGGTCCATGCTCAACGGCCTGTCGCAGTACGGCGGCATGGCCTTCTTCGCCTGGCTCCTGATCCACGGCCTGGGCCGCCGGCGGCGGAACACGCCCTGGTGGCCCCTGCCGCTGCTCAGGGACCCGAGGGCGCGTCGCGCGGCCGCGAGCATGGCGCTCCCCGACCTCGCGGCCGTGCCGCTCAGCGTCCCGCGGCCGTGACGGTTTTCGCGAGCTTTTGACCGGGAAG